CGCAACATTCCCAACTCGTTGTAATGCCTCTGAGGTTGATCTGCAGGAGGATTGTTGTCAGGTTTATTTGAGATTTTCTTTTCTAGTTTTTGTTAGGTGCTTCATTTTTGTTGATCTATAGCAGTTTTACTGAACTTTACTTGATTTGATTGGCAAACTCAGTGTTGCCTTTACTAGAGAGGGAAGTTGAAATGACAAATTTCAGCTTTTTTTCATGAAAAATTCTTAAAATAGTATTGTTTTATATTAATTCAAATTTATTTAGTATATAATACATGATTAGAGCTTTAAGGTGGATTATAGGTCAATTTAAATTTAATAACTTTAAAATATACTTGTGTTCTTGGATCTTGAGAAAGTTTTGGATGAAGAGGGTATTTAATAAAATATTAGCTGTTGTTTTTTAAAATAGTTTTTTGTTTAGAAATATATTAAAATAATTTTTTTTTATTTTTAAAAAATTATTTTAACATCAACACATGAAAATAATTTGAAAACACCAAGAAAATATTAATTTAAAGTAAAGAAAAAAATTTAAATTTTTTTCTAAACCCCTTCAAAATATAAAACAAACAGGTCTGAAAGCAAAACAAAAAAGAGAATCTTTCGAAACGATCAGGTTTGTTATTAAACCGAACTCATAATTGACCCAAGTAAACCCTATGATCTGCCCAGGTTTGGACTGACGCAACTGGCATCTTAGTTAATGCCACCAAACCTATTTCGAAGCCAGCTGAGTCAAAACCTAGGTTATTAAAACAAAAGATTAAAACGCTTGAAACTACGCCGTTTTGAATGAAAAAAAACAAATCTCTAAAACCCTTCCCTAGCGGCCACCGATCACAAATTAATAAATCATTCAATATCAGCTAACACCTTGCTAATCTACTTCAATACTCGACATTGCGCTGCTACCACTCAGTACTGACCTTCAATTTTTGAAAATCAACATTCTGCTACATCTGACCTGCTTCCTCTTCACTGTCAACCTGCAAGGCTGTTGCAACCTTTTCACTTTCATCTAGTTTAGTACCAAACTTAACTGTTTCTTACTGCAAGACCTGTTTAATGATTATGTAGATTTGGTTTTGCGTATGAGGGTTTTGATATAGGTCTAAGACTAGTTCTTCATTGATGTATGTTGAGATTGGTGCCTATGGGAAGCTTTTGGGAAACTTTTTTTTTTGTTAAATAAAACTGTAGGTTTTCTGAACATAATCTTATTGTAGAACCTAGTTGCTTAGGAGGAGAAACGTGAATGTAATATATCTGGAGTTGATTGACTTTGTGGTTTCAAGTTTTATGCCTTGAAATAGGATGAATTTTCCTAGGAGGCGAATATGAATATAGTGTATCACCTCAAGTCAATTGGCTCATATATTTTCAAGCTTTGAAGTATTGTTTTCTCTTCACTTTTGTTTCTGCGTGCGCGTGTTTTGTTTATGTTGGGGGGGGGTTGTTATGAGCTAGCGTAAAAGATTTGCAGAAAAAGTTTAAAAGATACATGATTCCCGCTGGTAGAAGAATTTGCTGTCATTTATCTAACACTTGGTTATAGGGTGTGATTGTTAAGAAAAAAAACCTATATTAACTGTGAGACTGGAGCATGTCCAGAGCCTTTCTGGTACATAATTGAGAATGATAAAGATACCGGAGCATGTTGGGTGCAAAATTCACAATAATACTCCTGTTTTACCCTGAAAACTGGAGTATGCCTTGCATTTTACTCATTTGGGTTTTCATATAATGGTCTTTAATTTTAAGTCTATCATCCTTTCAATTGAAATTAGAAAATGATTGGAATCTGCAGGCTGGAATACCATTTGCTGCTACTGACCTACTACTGGAGTATTGTTTTCTCTTCACTTTTGTTTCTGCGTGCGCGTGTTTTGTTTATGTTGGGGGGGGGTTGTTATGAGCTAGCGTAAAAGATTTGCAGAAAAAGTTTAAAAGATACATGATTCCCGCTGGTAGAAGAATTTGCTGTCATTTATAGATGCATATCCAACCTATCTTCAGAGTGTAAAACTTGAAAATTTATGAACCAATTGACTTGAGGTGATACACTATATTCATATTCGCCTCCTAAGAAAATTCATCCTATTTCAGGACGTAAAACTTGAAACCATAGAGCCAATCAACTCCAGATATATTACATTCATGCTTCACTTTCTAGGCAACTAGGTTCTACAGCAAGATTCTATTCAGAAAACCTGTTGTTCTATTAAAAAAAAAAAAAGTTGCCCAAATATTCTGAAAGCCTAATTCGCTCTAAAACACAATGAAAAACAATGTTTTGAGCACATAAAATTAGAGTTTCATATGTAATGTTGATGCCATAAGCTTCCCGTAGGCACCAATCTCAACATACATTAATGAACAGCTAGTATTAGACCTATATCAAAACCCTCAGACGCAAAACCAAATCTACATAATCATTAAACAGTACATAATCATTAAACAGGTGTTGCAATAAGAAACAATTAAGATTAGTACTAAACTAGATGAAAATGAAAAGGTTGCAACAGCCTTGCAGGTTGACAGTGAAGAGGAAGGAGGTCAGATATAGCAGAATCTTGATTTTCAAAGATTGAAGGTCAATACTGAGTGGTAGCAGCGCAATGTCGAGTATTGAAGCAGATTAGCAAGGTGTTGGCTGACATTGAATGATTTATTAATGTGTGATCGGTGGCCGCTAGAGAGGGTTTTAGAGATTTGTTTTTTTCATTCAAAACGACATAGTTTCAAGCGTTTTAATCTTTTGTTTTAATAACCTAGGTTTTGACTCAGCTGGGTTTGAAATAGGTTTGGTGGTATTAACTAAGATGCCAATGGGGTCGGTCCAAACCTAGACAGACCACAGGATTTACTTGGGTCAATTATGAGTTTGGTTTAATAACAAACCTGATCTGAACCAGCAAGTTTCGAAAGATTCTCTCCTTTGTTTCGCTTTCTGACTGTTTGTTTTTGTATTTTAAAAGGGTTTTGAAAAAAATTTAAATTTTATTCATTTTATTTTTATTTCAAATTAATATTTTCAGTTTGTTTTTTACCTAAAAAAGCCAAACAAAAAAAATAAAAAAATGACCAGAAACCGACCGGTTTCGGTCTGGTTTTTAATCCATAAAACCAAAAAAACCTATATGCATTTTTTGGGCTTTTTTTGCTTTATAATGGGCTTTTAATAGATTTCTAATGGGCTTGCAATTAATGTTATTGTTAATAGATTTCTAATGGGCTTGCAATTAATGTTGTTATTATCTCTTTTGTTTTTGAAGATTCTTAAGTATATTTAATTTTTTTACCCCTAAATAATCATTTGTATTAAATTGTTATTGTCAATCTTATATTTATTAAGTTTTTTGGCCACTGAATAATCATTTATATGAAATTATTAATGTCAATCTTGTGTTCAATATATTTTTTAACTCTCTAATATTTTTCTGCTTCATAAAAGTTTAAATAACACATACTCACAATCACACACCAATAAGTTAAAATTCAAATTACAAACCATTGCCTTCAAAGGGCTTAAAGAAAAAACAACAAATAACATTATCATAAAACATTCCAATCCAATAAAAAATAAATCTTCATGTGCACATCGTCTCAATAAAAAAACACTTCAAGAACATTGCACTTTGATTCCTGAAATTCATGATCTTGAATTATAACATGATAAATTAAATTAGAAGATATAAAAATAAAAAAAAAGTATTTTTACCATACGTTTTCAATAAATGTATCAGATTCATGAATTAATTATCATTCGTTGTTAGATACAACTTTTCACCAAATTCTACAAAAAAAAAAATTAAACATGTTAGAATAAAAATGTGTGAATTAATAAATCATAAAATAAAAGATGTAAGTTTTTAAGAAACATTACTCATTCATCTAAAATAGAAAAACACCCTCTTCAAGAACAACTAAAAAACAAAAGCATCTAAAAAAATAAAAGATATCTAATAAGCCTTTGCTATCATGCTATTATTAGTTGTTCCTAACAAGTTGTATATTAGTACACCATGAAAACCCAATAGCAAGCTGTCTTTTGAATGGAGCATTCTACACAAGCATGTGAATTAATTTTGCAGCATTATTTTAATTGAGGAAGTGGCACGTAGAATTTTTACAGGTTTTGCAACATTAAGCTCCAATAGATACTTATATTTTGCTCCCATTTATTTTACTTCCAACATTTTAAGCACAAATAGTATTCTAGCAGCATATAATAAGAGGACAACCGTGGGTTAAAATTTTATGCTTTATGAAGGCGTCACTTCCAGATTTATAAATGTATACCTAAAAGTAGTTCAAACACACTTTCTTCCAAACTAGGAAAACTATTGTCATGTTATCAGCAAATAAGTTTTGAAAATGCATGAACATAAAAACTAACAGGATAAATAGTTGAAGTTCACTTATCATACTTTACTGCCTGCTCTTGAAAATGCTTCTCTGGCTGCCTCTGTCTGAGAGTGTGCAAGTCTCCTCTAGGACAGAACTCCATTAATAGACATGAGAATTTATCTGTCTCAAAGTGGGTGTAGAGCATTGGAAGGAAATGATGGTCTAGAGATTGCAATATTTCTCTTTCTGTCTAAGCCTGAAGCAGCTTCTACACAAGCATGCGAGTGAATTCCTAATAGAATCAATGCATCATCATCTACCACCAAAAAAGAAGAAACTAAACATAATATGACAACGGAATGGAATATAAATAGCAAAAGTGTTTAACTGGTGAGTGACACCAGTCACAACTTACATGCTAATTCAGAGTCATTATCATAGCAATAAAATCACCTCTTCAGTATAAAAACTTCACCCAACTCACCATTGCCCAAGTAACAATGTAATCAATATTCAATAAAATTATATGATAGATCTGCATTTAGATAGCAAGGGAAGGAACACAAAACAACTTGAAACCATAATGGCTGAAGAATGATGGTCAAGACTGAAGAGCAGACACCCACCAAAATTCTTACTCTTATGACAGTAGCATTTTTGCAAGTTGCAATCTTCATTATCAATCACAACTCTAACATAAAAAAAATAAAGAAACAGAAGTGAACAAAATGAATGTAAATTTGTTTCACTTCAAAATTTAAGGTCACTTTCACTTAGAAAATTAAAAAAAAAAAGATGATGAATCTGCATAATACATACCTGGGTGGATTCAATCTCCTAAAGAGTTTCTCATATCCATCATCCATGTCATTTGAAAAGCTCTCGTTGACCTCTGTAGAAATTGAAAATTTTGAAGAGGAAAAGGTAAAAATATGTAAATATACAGAGTAGACAGAATTCAGTGGCAAAAAAAAAAAATGTTGTAGTTAAGATCACAAAGACAAGGTAAATAAGAAACACACATACCCCACATCAAAAATCCTTGAAAACTGAAATAAAACATGACTAATCAACTCAATAACAAAAACCCACTGAAATAAAACATGACTAATCAACTCAACAATAAAAAACCATCACCCAAAAACAAAAAGAGAGGAGAGGAAATTAATGCCTACCCATTGATGCTTCTATGATGTACTTGTACTGAATGAAAGAACTTGCCTGAAAATTCTCTCAAGAACTTGTTCGATAGGCTAAAATATTTTGGAGAGGCAAGAGGGAGAGCCTCTAGTACTAGGTTATGGGGTAGGCTCTTGTGAAGTTGTTAGGGTTAGTAGAGAGGGAGAGGGGGTGGCGGGTGCACTGGTAGTTTGTTAGGGTTAGGTGAGAGGGGGGGTAAGTTTCTATTTATACTGTGGTGGTTAGGGAGCTTTTTTTTGAACCGGTTCGGTTCGGTCCAGGTTAACCGATTTATGCATTACAAAACCGAAAACCGAACCGCACAGGGATTTTTTCTAAATATTCTAATCGGTTTTTTTTCTCTATTCAGTTTTTCTGATTAATTTTTTGTCGGTTTTCTCAATTTACTCGGTTTATCGATTTTTTTGAACATCCCAAGATGAACATTGTTTGCATTTTTTTAAATTTTTATCCAAAACAAAATTATTTCATTTTTTTTAAATAACTAAAATAATTTTGTTTTGATAATGATCCAGGTTGACCTAGCCAACCCATGACCTAAGCTGGATCTGATAACTATGGTTTCAACAAAGCAAGAATGGAAATTTTCTTCGTTAATCGTCATCAAAAGCATTGCCAAATCCCATTGATGAAGAACAAAAGAGGTGTAGAACCTTGTGAGAGTTTTCTCTCTCTAAAAAAAAATCAAGCTGTTTTTCTTTGTTTTTGCGGCTTCTATTTGCCTCGTACTGAATAGTTTGTTCTCAAATCCCTATGCTCTGAATTATATTATAAATTTTAATTTATTATCAGTTAACAGAAGTGTCATTTTGATTAGGGGTGAGAAAAAAACTAGAAAACTGATTTAACCAATAAAACCAGAAAAAAATTAACCGAAAAAATCGAACGAGTAAAAAAACTGATTGAATCGGTTAAAATGTTTAGAAAAATATCTGGTTTGGTTCAGTTTCTGGTTTTGGTGTGCCTAAACAGGCCAACCCGAATAAAATAGAACCGGTTTGGTTTAGGAATGAAAAAAAACCAAGCGGTCCAAGCTGCGGGCCGCCTCCTTCCATTACTTTTCCTTTCAGCAACCGTAGCTAGCAGACCATTTGTTTGCTTTCCCTTTCCCTTTCACACTTCACAGACATAGCCGTCACCTTCAATCACCCCTACTCCCATTAACAGTTGCCCCCTCCCATTAACAACCGCCTCTTCTTCACCAGTCAACAAGCTTAGGCTATTCTCGGACGACCATTCTTCAAATCTCGAAAGAAACCGCCGTGCGTGTGAGGTGGCGAAACTGTTACCGCTTCTAGATCTTCTTCAATCTATTGCTTCTATCAAAGCCGATTACATCGCTCAGGTAATTTTGTCATGTAATTACAGATTTAATTAATTGTTGCTTGTTGATTTTATATTATTTCTATTTTTTTATTTTGATGTGTTAATTATTTTAAACAATGTAAAAATGAAGGTGGATGAAAGAACACAATTTGGAAAGGAAATTGGAATCATTGTCCCTGTCTCAGATTCTCAGAAGACAATCAATCGCAAACAATATGTCCTTTTTTTTCCCTTCTTTTCTTTCTCACTGGTAGATTGAAATTTGGAACAACCAATAAAAGTTTGTATTCAAAGTTAGCTTTTTAAAAATTGACCCTATTATTTACTGTGGCTTAAGCTTTGAGATGTTACATGATTATGAATTAGTTTATATGAATTGAAACTTGAAACATAGTTTGACAAAGATGGATTGGCCGATTGTTGAGAAAATTGTTTTCAAATCTCTTTGAAAAATGTCTGAATGGTGGGTTGATGCTGCGAAATAACAGACCCGATTTGAAGGAAAAATGTCTGAATGGTGGGTTGATGCTGTGAAATAACAGACCCGATTTGAAGGGAATCTTTGAGATATTGCATGATTATGAATTGGTTTATAGGAATTTGCTTGATTGATTTTTTTTTCTTTTTAGAAGGGAATCTAATTCAAATACATTTTTTTCATCTACTTTTTAAGTTTAAATCTTAGAATTAATATCCAAAAAATTTCATCCCAGATGCTATTTTTTTTTTCCTTACAACAAGGAGTGGCTAGCTTGTGTGTTATAGGGACTAGAGACTAATTACCAGTTTCGGAGGACAATAGTTTTTGTTTTTATATATTTTTTAAAATATAAAATTAATATAAAAACATATTGTGTGTCTCTATCTCGTGTGCGTGTGCACATATGCAACTATAATTCTTACTTCTCTCCAGTTCCTTTCGTTTACAAGTTATTATTGCTAGAGTAGGTGCAACTAGTTCTTTCCTCTGCAAGTCGGGGTTGGTAAGATTGATTATAAAGAAAAAGGTATTGGTAATGCACAATTTTGATTTTAGTGCTAATGTTTCTTTCTATTGTTGCTCCACCTAGCAACTGTTGTTTTTCTTGGTTTTCATTACATAACTATCACTCCTTTAATAACCCTGTTTTCTAAGTGATTTTAGTTCACTTTATATTCTTCATGATTTAATCATTTTCATGCTTGCCATTTTTTTAAGTATTTTTATTTTATTTTCACATTCACTTTTTCCTTCATGTTTGTTCATTTTAGATTTCACTCTTTTTTCAATTATTTTGTTTCAAGAAAATATTTTTTATTCTTTTTTTTTTCCACTTTTTCTTAACATTTTTAACTTGAATTCCTCTTATGATAAATAGATTATACATTACATATGCCTATTATCCTCTACTTCTTTCACTTTTCCTTCGCAACAAAAATTTCTCATTTATTGTTTAAAAAAACTCCCTTTCTTACCAAAAGCACAACTTCCACAAAAACAACTTCAAAAATAAGAGAGATAACCACTTCTACAACCTCTTTAAGAAATGTGTCTCCACCTTCTTAAAAAATGACTAAACTATTAAAAAAAACCATCGATATCATTTTCATGTTTTCCTTCCTTCTTCACCACCTTTATCGACATAAACCCGTGTTATCTCTTTTGTTCACAACTTCATAACATCTCCCCAATCCAACCATATACACAAGTATGTCATCATTTGCATCATCTTTGAACAAAGCTTGGTTGTAACTTTGTTTCACTCCTTTTTTTCCTATTAAATCCCTTAACTACTCACTTGTATTGTTTAATCACCATAAACCCATCAATCAAATCATTAATATATCAACTTACAACAAATTTTCTCTTTCACAATATAATTTTTTTCATTCTTAAAAATCTATTGTTAATATGATGCATTCTGCTTGCTCAACTTACATTCTTGTTTGTACTTTAATTGATCAATTAAGGGCTAGGTTTCTTATGCTTTTACATTTTAATCAAATTGAATTACACACCCAAAAAAACCATTTAATTGTTGTTTCCACCAAAAAATATTATTTATGCTTACACATATTGGTTGCTAATGTTAAAAAAAGCTTTTCATTTCATGTCTTTTTTATGTTGTTTACAACATTCAAAATGTTATTAACATTTTAAAATAATAGAATTAAAGCAGATGTTTTATATATTTTGATCAAATTCAAAAAATGTCATCAACCTCAATTTTCTTCTTTGTTTTTTATTTTCAATCCCTCGTTCACATCACTGCTATGTTTTCTTTCATTCTATAACATCAATTATAAGTGACATCAAATTGAAAAAAAAATACCTTAAAAAGAGAAGGCATTTTTACTATACATTGCGAGGAGAAACATGGATTGTAACAATGTTTTTATGTTTTTTTTGGCATTTGAAGTTTTTTCATATTCAATCATCATTTTTTTTTATTTTGTCCTTATACATTAGATTAACTGGGTATTAGGCTTGATAATTTATTTCAATTTTCTTTCTGTGTATATCTTGATGTCAAAGATATCAAATTGAAGCTTGGTTTTGAAAAATAAAAAAAATGGTTTCTTTACTTTAAAATAATTTAAAATCCAAGGACCAAAATTGACAAATTGACATATATTCATGCTCTTTTATTTTTTTGCCACTATTCATTTAGCGTCTTTTGAAAGATTTTTGCCTTTAGATTTTTTTCATTTGTCTTTTCAGTCACTTTGGTTTGAAACTTTTACATTTTAGTTTAAAACTTAATTTTATTAATTTTTTTAGTCTTTAAGTATGAAAAAGCAAAGAGAAAATAACTAGAAAATAGTGAAGAGATAAATTTATAGGTTGGCCATATTACGACAACAAAAAAGAATAACCTTTGCGTCAATGATTTTATTTGATGAGATGAGTATCTTCAAGGTGATTTTTAGCTCTTATGTTATTGGAAAAAGTATATCAGGGTTGAGAAAGCTTTTTCGGGTTTAATTTTGTATTTTTATATTCATTTAAAGGTGTTTGTGTTGATAAATGAGTTTATTGAGGTACTAAAGATTTTAATTAGGTGTTTTTAGTTGAAAATAGGTTAAACAATGACTTTATTCCGCTTATATAACAAGGTAGTGTTTGATATTGTGATAGTGATTGCTTTTCAACGTGCTTTGTACTTGGAAATGCATGGTTTCAAAGTGCTTTGTACTTGGAAATGCATGAAAATAATATATATATTTTCAATATTAGCACATCAAAATGATTCAAAAACATAAAGAAATTAATTCTATTTTTTTTTCAATTTTTTGAAAAACACGTGGCCAGTCGCGTTGCCAAACAGATTCAGCAACATGCTAAGCCCGAGTATATATGTGTCTGACAAGTTACCAAACCCATTACCCTTAGGTTTAGGTTCATTCTAGGTCCAAATGCGTATGAAACTGTTAATCATTATAGGCCTCATGTTGGGTCATGAGGCATTGCTTGTTTATTCTTGTTACTCTTAACATAAAATATTAAAAGTAATGAATAATCATCTCTCTACATTCTAGGTGTATAAAAGTCTCCCAAGAGCCTACTATATTTCCATCAATATTAATATTGTGTAAGAGATATTTATCATTTATTAATATTGTGTAAGAGATATCTATCCCTTGTTAATATTATGTAAAAAATATTTATCCCTCAGTAATGCTACCCAAAGGAAATAACATTCCAACCCCTTCATTCAAACAACATGACGAGGTTCAGGGGCTATATATACCCTTTAAACTACCTCAATAAAAGGTTCATAATTTTCTATTCTCTATGTATTCATACTCTTATTCTTAGAGCATTTATCATACAAAAACAAAAACAAACCTTATTGTTCTTAGAATTTAAAGCTTATTCTCTCATTTATTACA